GAGAGAGAGAGAGAGAGAGAGAGAAAATGACTTCCTAATGAATAGAATGCTGAATTTAGTTATTTATTGGCTGTAACAGGTGTTTTTCTTATGAGCTGAGAGAACTGTGGAACTCCACATGAGCTGTCAGATGCAGCAAAGAAAGCAAACTATGAATAACACAACACAGAATAATAACTAAAGCAGTATGTTTTGATGCAGATACTTATTTTGGGGTATTTAATGCACACAATTACTCACAAGCACTTGGTTACACTGTGAAATCATGATTAGTGCCATTAAGTTTGACATCTTGTGATTCTAACAGTATGTTTATGATTTCTGTGTGCCAAAGAGTTTGTAAGTTACTGTTTTTAAACTGCACACTGCATTGTGCGTTGATCAGGTCCCAAAGGTTAAATTGTCAATGAAATGGTGTTAGCTAGCTTAAATTTAGCATTTATGATTTACTATGTCAGATTTAGTATGTCAGGGTATGTTTTAATTAAGTTGTTCCATTACAAATCCCAAAATCTTTGTATGAATGTGCATGCAAATGTTTCACTGCTATTTTGTTTGTACAAAGCCTTTCAAATAAGCCCCCAGGAAACAGCTGCCAGTGTCATTTTTTTATTGTCTATAAATATGTGTACATGTAGATTTTTAGGATGAGGAAGGATAGTGAGGCAGGATGAAGGGGAGCTGCTTATTATTTCTGAGGCAACAAGAGCCCCCAAAAGGAATTGTCACCAGGCTTCATGTATGAAGCTCTCCAATCTCTTCGTACATCTGTGTGTGGTGTGCTTTTTTTTTTTTTTTTTTTTTACTGATGTTAAAGCAAAATGTTCCTGCCTTTTTTTCCTTAGATAACCAGATTCTGCTGTCGGACTGCGCCTCTTCCCTTGCTGTGCAGGTAAATCTACTGTCTGCTGATCTACTGTCAGCATATATGTCCCACATATATGCTGTGCACTCATTGGATGCTTTTGCTTCACTCTCTAGTCAAACTCCAAAACCATTTCTGCTGGGTTTAGGACAGGTGGCCAGGTCATGTGATCATTCTCCTTCATAGACGGGTTTGGTGCACAGTTTATCTTCAGGAATTTGGAATCCCAGACATGGGATTTATAGTCTGATATGTTATTATAATAAAACACTCTGTACCTATTCATACCGAAAGTCAAGTATAACAAAGTTGTTTTTATTTACAGTTTGAGCAGTTTAACATTTGGTGATATGGCAGGGGTGGGCTATCTTACCTGCAAAGGGCCGGTGTGTATGCAGGTTTTCGCTGCAACTCCCTAATTAGGTCACTAATTAGAGGACTGATTGGCTGAAAGAATCCTCACACCTGGGTTTGAACAGCTGACCTGCATAAAAACCTGCATACACACCGGCCCTTTGCAGATAAGATTTCTTGCCCCTATAATATGGGAAGGTTTGAAAATGACTTTGTGAGGAAGCTAACTGACACCTCTCACCAAGTGAGATAGTGAGAGAACATTTTGCTGGACTGTCAAATAGCAACACGCAGCTTTCTTGCCAGTGTCCTCTGGTCCTATTTGGAGGTGTCTGTTGTATCTTTATTATTTGATTAATATTGTTTTATATTGAATTGATGTAAATTTGATTTAATGTAAAAAAGGGCAAATTCCTATATAGAAATGTAGTGTAATTCAGTAATAAGTAGTTGATTAGTAATTAATATAGCAAATCTTAGATATTTTAATTTGGGACGATTTACAGAAACTGCCAGTAGGTGGCTCTGTCATTATTCTGTGTGAACTAGAAATCGGCTCTGTCATTAATTGATATAAAGAAACTGCAATGGTGTTTGTTGGTCAACAACATTTTTGATGCCGAAACCCGGGAAAGGCAAACCAAGTGGATCGCAGCAGTTACGTGAAGCAGCAGGCGATTACTGAGACTGAAACAAACACGGAGTTTTATGGACTCCGGCGACGAAACTACTGTGGTATTTAGAAGAAGGAACATGTAAGGACAATGTGAATTGTGACCATTTAAGGGAGCTGCTGTCCATGCTTTCCGTTAAGGAAGAGAATCTTTGTGAGCTGGATAAGTAGATAGAAGATGAAATACCAATGGATGAACTGGACACAGATGTCGCAAAAACTTTGCACTATCAGGATCACATCAGCCTTTGGAAATCCCATGGCAACCGTGGTCGAAATAAGGGCAACTCAGCAAAGTGATGTGAGATCGTCAGTGAAATTACCGAAGCTGTCTATAAATAAATTTAACGGAGAGATATGTCTTTGGCAAGAATTTTGGGACCAATTTGAAACTGCTATCCATGAAAACCGAGAATTGAGTAAAATGGAGAATTACTTACCTGATGTCTTACCTGGTGGGGCCTGCAGCGTAAGCTGTTGCAGAGCTAAAAATATCCAACATCAATTACGATGTAGCGATTGATATGCTGTAGGAAATATTTGAAGAAAAGACCTTGTGGTGAGTGTGAACATGTCCAAGTTATTGAGACTAACTCCAGTAAAATGGTCTACAGATACTGAAGTTTTAAGGTGGCTGTATGACGAGTGTGAGGTGCAAATCAGTGAGGTGCAAATGAATGAAGTTTCATTCATTTTGGACACATATGGAGGATTATTGTGCCCCATACTGCTTTGGATGTTACTGGATGATCTTGCTCTCGAATTTACCCGATAAATGAATCCAGGTCATGAATGAAAGTTTCCTGAGCTTGTAACCTTTCTGCAATGGGAAGTTGAAAGCAGAGAACGTGCAATGCAACTGGCTAATGCAGGGACTATAAATTAAGAAGTATAGGCTTCTCATAAGCAAAACTGTAAATCAGATGCATGGATTGAGACTAGAGATGGGCGATCCACATTTTTTCAGTTCCGATCCGATTCCGATGCACAACTGCCGATACCGATACAGATTCCGATAAAAGAGCTCTTTTTACTTTGTTATACTTTTATATATTAATTTTTTAAGGTAGTAAATACAGATGGAAAAAATGTGACAAAAAATATTTAATTAGGCTACTACAAACATACATAATGTACTGTTCCACCTCGTTTGTTTTAAGCATTTTTGAGGCATTTGCAGTTCAATATGAATATCTTCAAAGCAAGTATACACAAGTGGCGAATGGTTAAAATTTTAACAGTTTTTCTCCCATTGGCATCAGCACAGTTACACTTTTGTTGCGATGGCAGCCCCTCTTACGCTCCTCGTACTGCAAAGGGTATGCGCATGACGTCAGAGCAGGCGGAAGTCACTACTCACACCCACTGAGTAGCAAAAAAGACTGAGGGGCAGCGATAGCGTTCGTTTTGAATGCAGCAAAAATACACATGTAAAATGGGAAAGAGCTGTCGTGCGATTGATTGCCAAAAACTAAATAAGTAAGTATAGGACGTGGATCGGCCACGCATGGCCAATACCCAATCCGTCAAATAGGTCTGGATCGGCGCCGATACCGATCTGAATATCTGCTTCTGCACTGACCTTTGAATGAATTCAAGTGTCACAATGCTTGTTCCTGGTACACCAGGTTGAAATTGTAATAGGTGGAAAATAAAGCTGCCATTCCAGCCACCGAGTTTGGTTGTGGAGGCAAAACCACTTCACTCTCGATGCTCAACATCCATCTGGTTGCTGTATGAAAACTTAATGTAAATACAACCCCAATTACAAAAAAGTTGGGACGTTGTGCAAATTGTAAACAAAAACAGAATGCAATGATTTGGAAATCTCATAAACCCATATTTTATTCATAACGAAACATAGAAAACATATCAAATGTTTAAACTGAGAAAATGTACTATTTTAAGGAAAAAATTAAGGTAATTTTGAATATCATGGCACCAACACGTCTCAAAAAATTTGGGACAAGGCCATCACCTCTTCTTTTAACAACAGTCTGTAAACGTCTGGGGACTGAGGAGATCAGTTGCTCGAGTTCTGGGAGAGGAATGTTGTACCATTTTTGTCTGATACAGGATTCTAGTTCAATTGTCCTAGGCCTTCTGTATCGTAATTTTCATTTTATGATGCACCAAATGTTCTCAGTGGGTAAAAGATCTGTGGGTCATTCCATGAAGTCAGTACATTTTCAATTTTAAGTATAAAATCATTTTTTTCTCAATTTTTTAAATACCTCTGGAAAGAAGACATCCTAAAGTGCCAAATTTTATAGTGCCATCTCAGGCTTTTTATTTTATGATATGTTATCTACTGAGACTAGGGATGCACCGATTCAGGTTTTTTGACTCCGATACCGATTCCGTTTTTTGGTGTATGTGGATCTGTCGATACCCGATACCGATCCGATGCCATTATTGAATTTACAAATCATACACCTCACTATACAGAAGACATCTAGCCTGGCTTAAATTTAGTTTTTCTAACTAAACTTACCTTCCCAAGCTAAAATAAAGCCAATAATAGCATATAAATGTAATTTAAAATTGTAAACCAATATTTTATTAACAATATAAATATATACACATTTCAAATGTATATTTCTTAATGAAACAACTTGAACTTCTTCAACAGTCAAAAAATAAATATATTATTACAACAACTTATGAATAAATAAATGAACTTGAAAAAT